GGCCTCCCCTCAGGAGCTCTTGTCTCTGCCCCGCTCTTCCCTGTGTGGCCTCCCTTCAGGAGCTCTTGTCTCTGCTGTCTTCCCTGTGGCTCAGACTCAGCTTTTGACATCTTTGTTTTCTGCAGTGTTTCTTAATAGTTCCTGTAGTCTTTAATATTTTTTAACTTCTTATGGAATCTTTGGGGGTTTCACATCATACACTCCAATTCTGTTCACCTCCCAGCCCCCCCCCCGCTAGCTCCCCTCATCCCTGTTGCACCCCCCTATGAAAGAAAACAAAGTAAGAAAACAAAAGCAAGAATAAAAAAAAAACCTCCCCAATAAACCAAAACAGAACAAAAACCACACTAGAAACAGAAAAATCTCTGCTGCGCCTCTCCTGCCTCTCCATCACCTCTCCGTCGGTCGGGGGGGCCCTGGAGGCTGTGTGTGGTTCAGTAGACCCCTTTGTCCACCAGCTTGACTGTTGACTGGTAATTACCCAGCCGTCTCCTGCCCGTTGTCCCTGGCTCTTCTCTGCTGTCTCTGATCCTGCTGTTCACATTTTGGCTCTATCCAGGTTCTTTGGCTTCCGTACATCAAAACAGTAAAAAGCCTGTGGTAACCGTAACCGTCATTCAGGCAAGGAAGCGCTGGATCCAGGACAGCAAAGGAAAAGAGCCCGCCTTCCCAATGGCGCTTTTCATCCTTTACTTAAAAGCCACGTCAAATATCACCTCAGTATCCTGCTTCTAAGTGCCCCTCTGTCACTGGAAGCCTTCACAGGCACATTTATATATAGGCAGTTTCAGAGCTTGGTAATTTGCTGATTGAAATAATGCGGCGGTCCGTGAACACAGGGCCAGATTGCCGTGTGCAGGGCTGGGAGGGAGCGGGTCCTCCAGCCTTGCCGATGTCGCTAAACCCCGTAAGATGATGGAGCCTGAAAAGGCACAGCGCTTACATGACAGGAGCAGGCGACAAAGCGTTCATCTTCCCTCTGTCGCTTCGTTATTTTTGGTAAAGGGTTGTTTGACCAAGGCCTGTTGCAAATTCCTGGGTTCAGGTGATGCTCAGCTCCCAGGGCCTCAACTTGCCTCCCAGCAGGCACTTGCCACAGCTGTGTGAGGAGCTTGAACCAACAAACACTCGCTACTTTGAGAGTTGGTGGACCACTATGGATGTCCGGCCCGCGTCTTCTGAGTCAGGGTCTCTCCTAAGGCCGCAGGAAACTAACGGCTCATCTGGGATAACGGATTTGCATTTGCCGTGCTCCCCAGAGGTTCATGTGCTGGAAGCTTCTCTCACGTGGCACTGTTGAAGTGATTGAACCCTCAGATGGTGATGGGCCGCAAGGAAATCAGTGAGGTTTGCGGTCCCGCCCTCTGGGGGTCAGGCTGTCAGTGCTGCTGATAGGCAGCATGGGTTACTTCTCTGAGAGCATGGTGCTCCAGCACGGTGCTCTAAAGGAGCACACAGGACTCCCTGTTCTGCAAGCCACCCTGTGGCACAGCAGGGGGTTCTCACCTCCATGCCAGTGCCAACCAAGTTCCCAGAGTTATGAGCCAAATAAATTTAAAAATGTTACCCCGCAGTAGGTGTCTGTGATAGCTGGGAGATTGGCTAACTCAGTCCTGCTGTCAGGAGGCCTGCCCATTCTCGCCTTCGGCTTGGGACATAATTCCTTCCTTGTGGACTGAGCTCTCAGCCGTTTCCTGGGTGTTCTAGAACATGGAAGTGGCTACTTCTCTAGTGTGATTCCAGGAAAGCAAGGTGAAAGGCAGTATTTGTGTGACAGGCAGTGTGTGGGACAGGGTGTACACATGCTCCCGCAAGCACGGACCAGCCCACGGCGCATGTGTGGAAGCAAGGACAGCGTCAGCTGCCAGTCCTCACCTTCCACTTTGAGGCAGGAATTTTGAGCCTGTGTATTCACAGGCTAACCAGCTTGTACCTTCCAGTGCTTCTCTTCGTCCTGCTGGAGGTGTGCACTGGGCCAGAGGTGTGCACTGGGCCGGAGGTGTGCACTGGGCCGTAACAGACCCATGCCCTGGGCCGATGGTGTGCACTGTTCCATAACAGACCCATGCCCTACCTAGTTGGGCTCCTTACAACTTCCGGGGATCCGAACTCAAGTGGTCAGGCGAGCATGGCAAGCACTTTGCCCACTGGCATCTCCCAGCCTTGGCAATGCCTAGACTCTGCTGCACACCAACCCTGACCCAGTGTGGGAGAAGGCTGCCATGAGGCAAGATCATTCAGGATCTTCATGCTGGCTGAATACCACAGCACAGAAGCATAAACTGAGCCTGAGAGATGGATTGTCTGGTAAAAGCACTTGCTATTCAGGTCTGACAAACTGAGTTTGTTCCCTAGAACCCTCTGTGAAAGAGAGTTCTACTCCTAAACATTGTCCTTTGACCTACACACACACGTGCGCACACACACATATGTGTACACGCACGCACACATGCACATATGCATCACGCATGTGCACACATGTGGTAATCTTTCAAAATAAATTATACAAAAATAACGTAAGCAACTTGAGCTTAATTTTAGTTTAGATTTGTTTTATTGAGACAGGGTCTCAATGTGTAACCTGGCTGGCCTGGAACTCACAAAGTACATAAACATGGCTAGCTTTGAACCTACAGCACTCTGCCTGCCTCTGCCTCCCTCCCGTGTGTTGGGATTGACCTGGTAACCACCACATCCTGTGCTGCTTCCATTTTTAAATGAGTAAATGTGCATTCTTTGGCCGACCTTTTGTTATAACTTCAAGACTGTTAGTTGGAACATTGGTTCATGCTGTTCCAAAGTGTATTTGTTGCATAAGCTACACTCCCTATCTGCCATCATTTGGAGTTCCAGAATACACACACACACACAGTCTCGCACTTCCTAAGCATGTGCTCCACCAATGTATATCCTACACCCTACAAGTCCCTAACTTTTTCCTTTTTGACAGGGTGTCACTATGTAGCCCAGGCTAGCCTGGAACTCACTATGTAGACCAGGCTATAGGTGTCTGACTGCCTATCTCCCCACTGCACGTGCCCCATGCCCAGCATACCTTGCTTGCTGTCAGGGTCTGCTTTTGAAACTCAGTTTTAATTGTAACTTTCCCCCTTCTTTTTCCTCCCTGCAAACCCTCCCATACACCCCTTCCCCTCCCTTCAGAATCATGGTCATGGTCTCCTCTCTCACCGCTTGTTAGTGCGTGCATATGTGTATTTGTATATTCATGTCTATGTTCATAAATATAACCTGCTCAGTCCATATAATGTTACCTGTATGTGTGCTTTCAGGGCTGACTGTTTGGCACTAGACAGCCAATTACATCCCTTACTTTTAAGAGAGAAAGCCTTCAGCAATACAAGGGCAATGGCTGGAGACGTGCTAGCTTTATGTCTGTACCCAGTATTTTACATTTGCATTCTCCAGGCTTGGTGGTCAAGTCTCATGAGCTATTTGCCTTTACCCGTTTCTTTCAAAGCTTCAACTGTGTTTCTACAGCTATTGTTGGGATGTGTGTCTAATTTGGACAGAGGCTAAAGGTATAGCTCAGTGTTAGAGCACCCAGTACACTTAAGGTTTGAACCCCAATACCATAAACTATAACTAATACAGGGTGAGAACAGACCCAGTTGATTTGTGCTAAATATAACAGGAGTTCATATACATATTTGCAAATCTTGGGTGTGGTAGTCTGAATGTAATCGGGCCCCATCAGTTCATAGGGAATGGCACTATTAGGAGGTGTGGCCTTGTTGGAGAAAGTGTGTCACTGTGGAGGCAGGCTTTGAGGTCTCATATATGCTCAAGCCATGCGCAATGTCTCAGACCACTTCCTCTGAAACTGTAAGCCACCCAGTTAAATGTTTCCTTTGTAGGAGTTGCCGTGGTCATGGTGTCTCTGCACAGCAACGGAAACCCTAACTCAGACACTGGGTTTCTCGTAATGTCAAAGTTAGATGTGAAAACTTCACCCACCCTGATCTCCATCCTCTATTGTCATCTACAAGAACGCCCCAGCGGAGCTTTGTTCCACCCTGAAGACTAGAAACCTCTCTTCCTGTCTGGCAGCCTGTTCATAGAAGCCCACCAGTTCAACTGAGACATGCCTCAAATTTCTCCTTCTCTTTCCAGTCACCA